ATACTAGAGCAGATATATCGTTCACAAGGAACTTTCCTATAATGAAACACATAAACATAAGCAATAATCAAAATACATAAAGAGATAAGGAGAAGGTACATACCTGTAACGACATTAGAGGCTGCATGTGCCTCCTCTGCTGTCAACTGTAAGGCTCTGCTCTTCGCCACTGGCACATCTGTCCGGCTCTGACGACCGACTGTAATCCTCAATGTAGCAGGAGCGGGTGCCGCCACCTTCCCTGATGCTGCTAAACTTGGACACTAGGACCTCTTGTCGCCCCTTTGATTGCACTAAAAGCAAATCAGATCAGATATTGTGGTGGTAGTGGTAGCAGTACCATCCCTGCTGACATGTCCAGTTCGGCCGCACTTGAAGCAACTCGAACTACCCGCCCTGCACGTGCCCCCGTTCATCCTACCGCACTTTCCGCAACGGCCTCGGCCCTGCTGGCCCTTCCCTCGAGAATCTACCTTGGGCTTTTGCCCGAGCCCTCAACGCCAGACACCGCCTCTGGCTTCCTCTTCCTCTCCATCTCTAAATCGATCTCTCTCTCACGAGCCCTAGCAATCATATCCTCCAAAATTTTGCAGCTGGATCGGCTCACAAATTGGCGGATATCACTCTGCAACATCTCATGATATCGGACCTTTTTCATCTCCTCGTCCGTCACGTACTGCGGAACGAGAAGGGCCCTCTCCCTGAACATAGCGGTGATCTCGGTCACCGTCTCAGTCGTCTGCTGGAGATCCTGAAACTCCCTAGCAAGCTGTTGCACCTCAATAACAGGTGCAAACTCAGCCCTGAACCTGGCCGAGATGTCACTCCAAGTCATAGCATCAAGAGCTGCATCATCACCAATGGCATGCCCGACCTCCTCCCACTAGTCATGTGCCCTGTCCTTCAGAAGACAGGACGCAAGTCGGACCTTGTCCCCCTCGGGACATCGGCTCGTACGGAACGCGTTGGCGACATCAGCCAACCATCTAGTGCTAGCAATGGGGTCCCGAGCCCCATGGTAATCGGGAGATCCACAAGCCCTGAACTCCCTGAATGTCAGTGTGCGCGACCCCATCATGGCCGCCACCTCGGTGCGGAATGCACTCAGTCTCTCATCCAAAAGCTCTACTGATCGTGACCTCACAGACTGAAAATGAACTCTCTCGTCTGCTCATCTAGCTGCCCGGCTCCAGAGCCCGAGTCTGATCCCTCACCGGCACCTGAACTGCCGACTGGCCTAGTGCGTAGCGTCACCATACTGAAAATACACCATAACAAACATCAGAATGCTCATCATAACTCGAGGGATCTCACACGCTACAAATTCCCTGGGTTCGTCTCAGCCTCCCTTGATTCGAGTACGGATCCTCTGCTTTCAGTAGTACGGGCCCATACTACCTTCCACATCTATCCGTACTTTCCTCAAGAACTGCCTTGACTCCACCAAATCCCTTCTACTGCTACTGCTGCTAATCTCATCTTAGGCTTGCCCTAGGGTAATCACCAACCCACTCTCCACCATCAGCTGCATAAGAAGTCTCTGCTATCTCCCCCTAACTAGCTTGTGAATACCATTACATATCACTATGACTAGATAATTCTTTGAATGAGAGGTCCTACCCTACAACGGTTAGACTCAAACGAGAGCTGCGAAATAGAGCTAAACCTAACCTTCTGAAATTATTTAATCCTTGCAATATGTAACTTAACATATTCGTTTACTAGTTGATTAAAGATAACTAGAACTCCTAAAAGCACAAAGCAAGCAGCATTCGAGCATCGAGTAAACATAATCAAGCATATCCTAATCAGGCCATCATATCACTAACTAATTTGTACTAGAATGCAGTTCATAAAGCTGATACACATACAACAGGCATATAATGCATCCTTCCTAGATCCTTAGCCCTAATCTAGCATGCAGTTCTCATAAACATATCATAACGTAAACTTGTATGGGTAATTTGGGAGTACTTACTTGAGCTCGGCTGATTGCATGCACCACACCCTTTTTTCTTTCCAAAAGTTCTTTTTCTCTTTTCAAAATTCTTTTTATAAAAATGATTTTTCTTTGAAAAATTTCATACCAAGTCCTTAGTTTGAGTTCAGACACACCGGGGAGTGTGCCCGAATCCCTCAAACCAAGGCTCTGATACCAACATGAAACATCCCAAAAATACGGTCCAAAATTTTCATTTTAAATCATTGATTAAACCATAATTATCCAAACATCATATAAAACCATAGATCATGTATCTCAAAATATCATAAATATCTAACATATCAGAGTGAAAACATCCCAAGCTAAACAAATGATGTGTGCATCGCAATCATCCCGAGCTCTTCCCCTTGCTATCGGAAGTACCTGAAACCAAAACCGTAAATTGTAAGCACAAAGATTAGTGAGTCTCCCCAAACTACCACATACCATATACATAACATGCAACTAGGAGATATGGGCCCCGCTCACACTCAATGAGTTACGGGCCCCGCCCACACTCAGCTACCATGAGATACGGGCCCCGCCCACACTCAGCTACTATGAGATACAGGCCCCGCCCACACTCAGCTACTATGAGATACGGGCCCCGCCCACACTCAGCTACTAGGAGATACGAGCCCCGCCCACACTCGGCTAGTCATGAAAATAACATACAAGTATCACACAGACAACAAGTATAACGAAGCATATAAATCTGTACCATATCGTGCTATCTATGAGATACGGGCCCCGCCCACACTTAGCTACTAAACATATCACATATACGGGCCGACCTTGGTGTCGTAGACCCGTTCCTACTGAAGGAAACTCACCTCACAAAGCTGACTGCTGAAATCTCGAGTGAGGAATCTCTGACAGCTGCTCTAACGACTCCCCGGCAGGAAATGAAGAGGATGAGAAGTTGTTTCTGTATCTACTAGCTTCCTTCTGAGACTCCAAGCTTCTTCTCTTCTTCACAAACTTCAAATACACAAAGTTCAGTCAAAAATGGCTCATAAACTCACAAAAGGCTCTAGGGTTTCGTGGATTAGGGTTTGGGACTTGGAGGCTGGAAATGAGGCCATAAAGTGGGGATTAAGATGCTTAAATAGGGTGCAAAACTCCGAAATTAGGGTTTTATTCTGGCAGACCTACTCGCCGAGTCGAGGCTCTCAACTCGTCGAGTAGGTGGCTTAAGATCCCGCGTCCAATCTCGTTTCTACTCGACGAGTATGGGGCTCCCAACTCGTCGAGTAGCTCTTCAAAAATGAATAAATTATAATTAAACGCGTACCAGGAATAGGGCGTTACACTCTAATAACTGGCTCTTGAGGCAACTTGATGTTAATAATGCATTCTTGCATGGAACCTTACAAGAAGAAGTGTACATGGTTCAACCATCGGGATTCGTTGATACGCAATACCCCAACCATGTTTGCAAGCTTCGAAAATCCCTTTACGGTCTGAAACAAGCACCACGTGCATGGTATATGGCCCTAACGGAGTTTCTAATTAAATCAGGTTTTCGAAAATCTCATTTTGATGCCTCTTTGTTTATCTACAACCGAATGGAATTATTTGCTATTTTATGGTTTATGTTGATGAAATTGTGCTTACAAGAAACAACTCACCTTTTCTTTCCAAGTTTGTAGATTTGCTTGCCAACAGGTTTTCCATCAAGGATCTGGGACAACTAAATCATTTTCTCGGTACTGAAATCATTCCCACCAAGACTGGCTTATTTCATTCGCACCACAGCCATGTCCAATACATTCTCACCCAGTTCAAGATGGATGGTTCCAAGGAAGTTACAACCCCTTTAAGTACTTTCGTTACTCTAATGGAAGACGATAACGCACCCAAAGTTGACCCGACACCATATCAGAAACTTGTTGGCACCCTCCAATATCTAGCCTTCACTCGCCCGTACATCTCCTTTGCGGTCAACAAACTATCACAATTCATGCATTCACCGTCCAAAACTCATTGGCAAGCACTTAAACGGCTACTCCACTACTTAAAGGGCACTATTTACCATGGACTCTTCCTCAACCGACATTCTACTATGGACCTCTCGGCCTTCTCGGACTCGGACTAGGGAGGGATATCCACCAAAGGCCTCTCAACAACATCCTGGCTTTGTTTATATTGGTTCAAACATCATATATTGGCGCTCTACTCAGCAAAAGACGATTTCTCGGTCATCCACAGAAGCCGAGTACAAAGCTCTCGACAATGCGGTTGCAGAACTATCTTAGGTTAAAAACTTACTGTTTGAACTTGGCGTCTCCTCCTCTCAAGCACCAATTATTCACTGTGATAATATTGGTGCTACCTACCTTTTGTGCAAACCCAATCTACCTATCTCGTATGAAGCATGTGGCATCCTTCTTGAAGTTCGGTATGTTCATACACTGGACCAACCAGCAGATATCCTCACAAAACTGTTGGGTCGTGCATCCTTCTTGAAGTTCCGGTCCAAGATTAGTGTATCCGATGGATTCTCCATCTTGCGGGGGCATATTAAGGATATACATTGATACAACTCTTACCTAAACTGCTGCTCCTTGATTATTGGAGTCAATGATTCTCCGATTCATTGCATTCCATGTATAGTTCCTAGATTAAATACATTCCATGTATAATTCCTACATTAGTGCACATTCCTTTGTTGTAATCTTGTATAAATGTCAATTTGTAATAGACAATTCATAAACTCATAGTTTGTACTTTGCTCTAAAGTTTATGTTTGTATTAATTGACCTATACAACACAAATCGTCATTTGTCACTGTCTCATCATCCTTGATCCTTCTCCCCTCCTATCCTTTTGTTGCTCTTTCGTTTTTTTTTCAATATATTTAAAAATATATATATTTATAAAAATTTCAAATATATCATTTTATTCGCGTAGTTGTCCGAATAAAATAAGTCGTCTTTTCTCTCGTACATTTATTTATGTTACAACATTATCGTTACACACGTGTGCAGGTTCATCTTCTGACTCTTCTCCCTGTCGTGGTTAACGTGTCACACATTCCATGAATCTTTCTGGCCACCTCTGGACACACATGACACACCCTCCTCACTCCTCTCTCTTTCTTCACGTTCTACAAGAAAAACCCCATCCGACTTCGACTTCGACTCCTCAGTTATCCCCGAGCCACCACGTTAGAAGGTACGCTCCTCTTTATCTCACTTACTGAGACTTCCTTGTTTTGTTTTATGTTTTTCCATTGGTGCAAAGCATCCGTTTGCCTCTATGTATGAAACCTGTTTGATGATTTGTCTAGCTGAATAGTAGTATCTGAGCTGTCTGATTTGCTAAAAAACAAAGATTTTGGCTCCTTCTTTTTTTCCTATATGGACGTGCGTATGATTTTTTTGCTGCCACAAGTTAAATTTGGATAACAAGTTAACAGTGTCGATTGCGGCTGCGGCTGTGTAGGGTCTGAATCGTGTGTCAAGCCAATAAATTAGTAAGAAAATTAGGTTGAGTTGTTACTATATATACACACAAATAATGTGAATTATGCTATATTACTCGGTTAGAAGTATAAAGTATAAATAAGGATTGCTTTGTCTCTTTTCTTGTTCTTTCTTTGCTGAAAACTACCTGATTATAATTAGCCAGGACATGAGGGATGATTAAATGCTTAATTTCTTTTCTTAAGATTAAAGATCAAATTTTTGGCTTGGGTTCTGAATAGGAACTATGAAATTCAGGCCTAGAGGTGTGTTTTAGAGAAAAAAGAAACAATAATCTCGTTTTTCAATACTTATCAGAGTGTTATCGGTAGTTACAAGTGTCATATCTGATGCATCCGTTCTTGATTGTTATTGGCCCTTGAACCTGCTAAGGAAGTGGTATAACTGCCATTGCTATGTAAGATCATCTTTTGATGCCTGGAGTCAGTAATAGCCATACTGCAGAGGATTAATTTGAAAGGATTCTATTCCTATTGACGTTGAAGATGTAATTGTGTTGCAACTTTTGATACTCGGCTCAAACTCAATAGGCTAATGAGGTTATATAGGGCTATATTTCTTGAATGTAACTTGCACTTACCTAAAGCCATTTTTTGCGAGAACTGTGGAAGAAGGACAATAGTTGTTCTATTGTGAAGTAGGATGTTCAGTTTATTGCAGCCATGAGTTTAGAGCTGATTTTCTTATGCATATGACATGTTTTTGGCATGTGTGGTTTCAGATTCTAGAACAATAAGGGCCAATAAGCTTCGACTCCAAAGCAAATGACAAACATGTAGCTGCTGAGGGTGGATCAATAATACATATAGTCGATAAACATAATCCCTGAATTGGTGGGTACAATCTTGATCATAGTAATAAAGCCTTTTTCACTTTTTAAACTATCTTGTATGGCTGGTGTGAGAGGAACTTGTATAGTTATAAACACTTGGGTTGACATTCTGAGTGCATCTATCTACTTCCATGTAAACATATTTTGGAGATTTATGCTTTGGACTGTATCTATAATAACTCTACCCACACGTGCTCTGGGTGCACTACACAGAGAGAAACAGGTTAGTATATACTATATATGTATATCATCATCTTGATTCGCTAATTATCATAATCAAGATATAAAAGTAGTCCCTTGATTGAGAAGCACTTTATGTTCAGTTACAGGCACAACTCAGTGAACTACAAGAAAGATTGGATTCTCTTGCATGGGATAGGAGGGAGCTTCAAGAACATATACGAGTGGCCATTAAAGAGCATGAAATGATGGAACTTATGTTAGGTGAACTTGAAGAGGAACACGATGTAGCAATCCATAGAATCCAAATCTTGGAGACTGAGGTACAGTTGGAAGTTATATTAAGTTATTAACATATATACTTGCGATAGATATATTTGATATATATAAAATATTTCTGCTTTAATTAATCTTGACAGTTGCAAAATCTCAAGGATGAAAACCTCCGTCTGAAGGAAGTTGATGGAAAATCACAGTGGGACACTGGTTCAGGGAATGGCCAAAAGCACAAGGATGCTAAAGTATCGTACACTAAAGATGGAATTTCACCATGGAAATTATCGGATCAATATTATAAAGATGTGATGAGGAAAGCAGCTAATTTTGAGGATGAAAACAAAGATGATAGTCAAGTACCCCTGAGTAGAAGTGTGTATACGGATGATGTTGTTGGTCAAAGGAGAGAAGTTGCAGTTTCACAGAGCCTTTTCAGTGCAATGTTATCAGTGTTGGTTGGAATGATCATATGGGAAGCTAAAGACCCATGCATGCCGTTAGTGACAGCTCTTTTTATGGTGGTTGTTATGTCGTTAAAAAGTGTTGTCCAGTTCTTCTCCACCATCAAGAACAAACCAGCATCTGATGCAGTTGCTCTTTTGAGTTTGAATTGGTTCATACTTGGCACTCTCACATACCCAACCCTACCCAGAGTTGCTCGTTTATTAATGCCTATCTTTATCAAATCATCAAAACGTGCATTTGGTGGTTTCTTTCTCTTTCTTACTAATTAGTTTCTAAAACACGAAGTCATTTTCTTTTTTGTTTTTTGGTCTTAACTTCATGACTTAACAGGATAGTTTTGCTTTCGACTTCTAATGGTAACATTATCAAACATCTACCCGAGTTAAGCTCACTTTGTAACTGTTGCAAGACATTAGCTAGCTACTTGTAAATTGTATTGTGGTTGGGTGCTAAGTCTATATAGAACATATTGTAACTTTGTAAGTTGTATTAGTGGTGCTTTTCTTATATATGTAAAAGGTGGAGTCTGGAGAGTTTATGATAGCTTTCATGTGGTTTGTCTTTGATACATATTGTAAATAAACGGCCAAATGAGACATGGGGGACCAAGAAGTGGTGAGGTATCTTTCACCATTTGGTATCTTGGACCATTTGTCCATTAAGTACCTTCAATAAAACACATGATGCATAAAAGGTCCATCTTGTGTCGCTTTTTGGGACAAAGCATGGACTGTGCAATTCAATTGATGAAGGACACGTGACTATGATGTAGGGCATCTGGCATCCGGCCTTCAAAATTATTGATATCTGAAGGGATTATGTTCTGTAGCAAGGACATGCGACTTCAAACCTAAAACCCCATGTCATCCTTGAGTAATCATCCATGATAGATATGGGTATTACTGTGTACAAACAAGTGATGGCAAACAAGAAGGACCTAGTCGTGAAAGAAATAATTAAATAAGTGTTGCCACCAAATGCTTACATATTCAATCCGCAGGACTAATTTATCTCACAATTACGCAAGCAGATCTTACATATATATACAATCCACGAAGTTAGTCAGTTTATGGTTATTACGATCACTATGTTGTTATTGTCCTTCGTATTCTTGGATATCTCAAGGGCACTACGTATGTTTCATGGACTTTACTTTTTGACCGACTCATCATGGATTCTGGAAGCCTTTTCATCTAAATGCCCTTCAATGTTCGACATGAAACATGCCTTCATTATGGTTTAAGATGCTTTAGCATATACTTAATTGGTAGTGTCATATGGCATGGAACAAAATTATAATGACATTTGGGGTTCCCCAAAGAAAGAATACATAAATATGAAAGAATAATTGGATTTTATGGTTGTCAAATAGTTTTTGATCCAATGCAAAATTAAGCAAAGATTATTAACAACAAAAATAAAATAAATGTGAACGGTAAACACGCACACTCTTTATAAATTTACATCTAATTTTACATATTTTTCAACGATGAAGTTGGACTTTCAACCATCTGGAAAGATTACATTTCATACATACAATAATACCGTTAAACTAAAAGCTAAAAGATATAACTATAATATAGTTAGGTTCCTGATTTCACAGCTTAATTTAACCGGGGTAGTATAATTAATATGATTAAAGGATTTACTTATGTAAATTAAATCATAAAAATATGCAAATATCAACCAAAGTAAAATAGTTCAACTCATCATTTAAATATCCTTTAGCCAATAAGTAATTTCTACATTTTCAAACATGTGTGTCAGAAATTCCTTTTCAATATATAATATAGACTTGCGAGAAGGAAAAATCAACTTTTTGGAAAATGAAATCAAAATGGGGTCTCCCTTGAAATCTTGATTCGAAGTTGATTGCGGAAATATATATATATATATATATATATATATATATATATATATATATATATATCTATATATATATATATATATATATATATATATATATATATATATATATAGGAATGATCATTTGAGAACTCATAATTTCCCTAGAACTTGAGAACTAAAAGTGGAGCGTTGGATAAAAAAAAGGATGGCCAAGATGCATTGTGGCATTTTTGTAAATACATAGACAAAATAAGACGGGGGGTATGTTTTTAAAATGAATCAGGGGCATTTTAGGAATCAAATATCTCTTTTAATTCCCTAGATTAAATATCTCATTTGCGTGTCTCTCTCTCTCTCTCTCTCTCTCTTCTCTCTCTTCTCTCCTCTCTCTCTCCTCTCTCTCCTCTCTCGTCCTCTTCTTCACCGATTCACCCATCTGCCCTAGATCGACCTCAATCACCATCGGTTTCAATCATCGAGTCTGCCGATCTTCCCTTAAAATCACCATCATCTCCACCACATTGATCTTAGTTTTGTTCATACACAAAATCGTAACCCTAAAATCATCACGTTACATGATCCGCCATTAATGAAATCAAGAAGGTAGTAAAGGTACCTTTCCATATCCAAATTGGATCAACAAAATGTGCATTGTGCATCTCCGAGCTAGGCATCCGCGGATCACTGAAACGACAATCATCACCCCATCAGTTGATCGCCTTCCTCATCGCCTCCGTTCCGTCTTCATCGATCGAGCTTGTTTCCGATCAGATCGGGAAGAGGAGATTAAAAAATGAACTCAGTGGTTGACAATGGCATTCGTTCCCAATGTACGGATATTCGCACAACACAGGTTCTAATTTTTCATTTTATTTTAATTCCGCCATTAGTATATATACGATTTTACACTTCAGAATTACCTATTCTGACTATGTTCTTGTTTGAATTGAAATTTTTGTTTTGTCTTAGAGTTATGATGCAAAAACATGCTTTGATTGATGTAAAATCTAAAATCATTGAACAATCCAGGCTTCATTGTGGCAATTATCAACAATATGAAGGTGCGATTTAGCATTCAAGGATTCAGTTATTCTTGAAACATTCATCGGTCAAAGGTAACTAATATTATTCCATCTCAATTTTGTGGTTAAGCTTGTTTTTATTCAGTGTCATATTAGTTGCGAATTTGAGAATTATAGTGTTATTACTAGTTAATAGTTAATAGTAATAATAAACCCATGGAAATTAATCTCTGAAGTGTATTTTTTGTTGTTTGACCTTCAACAGCAGCCATTGCTGATGCAACTTCTCTTCCCGAAATTGCCATGTTGGATTTCAGATCAAGTTTCATAAGGATGTCTGGATTCCCTGTTCCTTCTTTTACTCTTGCTTGTCTTTAGAAAACTTCAACAGCTACAAATTAAGATATAAATAATTTACTTTTTTTATCCATTAAGGAAAAAAATCATTTATTAAAAAGAAAAATGGAACACATGTACTTCAGCCTCTTGTTCATTCTATCATATCTTTGAGCAAGACGACGAGGATCTTCTAGTGGATCTTCCCATTACCATTGCTCTACTGGCTCTGCCACCCTGTTCAAGATTGAAAAAACTTTCTATTTTTAGCTTTTGTACTTAACTCTTTCTATTTTTATAACACTAATTTGAAATATCTACATAGTTAATTTGTATAATAATGATTTGTATTAGAACCTGAGTCCCAATGATTTAAGTAGGTTCCTTTCCTTCTCCATTAAAGCACGAGCTCTTGAAATGTTTTTGCAGCTCTGGATAGTATGCTACCACTAGTGCATGTGTTCTCAACACCATATTTCTTGCTATTCAGAAATTTGCCCTTTGCGGTCATGGTCAAAAACTCTTCACGTGAATTTACAAATTACAACACAATGTCCATCAAATGGACTTGAAAAGAAAGTTGGAAAAAGGAAGGTGCTTTTGATCTAGTAGTTTGCCTAATAATGTCATATTAGTTGGCACTCTATGGGTGGTTTTGTTGCTAGAGCTACAGTTGTGCCCCCTAATTGATAAAGTCATCAGCTAAAATTGTTCTCACTTTATCAACTCCACATCAGTGAGTTTCTTTGGACTTTCTGATTATCATTGTATCCATAATTGTGATGTAATTTTCTTTACTCTTGCTTCAGGTCACCCCTCATTGCATTTCATCCTTTATTGATCCAAAAAGACTTGAATGGTACAATTTCCATATCATAATATACAACCTCTGCACATCCACGATTTTGTCTAGATTGAACTAATATATTTTTCCTTCATCGATCTAATCGAGGTGAATACAGTGCACAAAATGGGGGCATTCACTCAGCTTTGATGGACCTTTATAAGCTCGTCTGATGACACTGCCAGGGCTTGGGATACTCGCTCTTCCAACAGGTTTTTCCTTCATGTTTCTCTAACATTTGATTCTGATTTTGATGTTTTGAAATACAATTTTACTGTTTGATATATTCTTTTTGTCTATATGCTAGTGATATCGGTT